TTTGTCTAGACCTGGAAAAAACGCGTAGGGTCCCCTGCGTTTTTCTAAACTCTGATTTTCTCTCAGACTTGAAATTTGGTGGGATTAAATATTTCAGTAATTAAGTATTATCAGAAAACATAACACCACCCAATCACAAGAAACCAATAGTTTGCGAAATTACTGGAAATAAGTATTGAGAAAAATTTCATTAAAATATTCAAGCATCATTACGACCACTAATTATTTAATCGAACTTTTCGATTATAGGACCCGGAATCAGCATCTTCAGGAGTACCTATACTGTGATTTTGAACAAAATCGCATTTATCGCCAATTTTGTCTGGAGCCCACCGACGCGTAAAAGATTACTTCGCGTTTTTCACCCAAATCGATTGCCTCTCAGACTTGGGAATTTGGGTGGATTTAATTTCGTAATTAAAGTACATCAGAAAAACATAACAACATAACTAATCACCTGAAACCAATAGTTTGCAGTACTTTGAAATAAGTATTGAGAAAAAATTTCATTAAAATCATTCCAAAACATCATTACATTACTAATTATTCCCCAATCGAACTTTCGATTATGGGATGGAATCAACATCTTCAGGAGTACCCTATACTGTGATTTTAGACAAATCGCATTTATCGCGTTTGTCTAGACCCTTGAAAAAGCAGCAAGGTCCCTCCTTGCAGCGTTTTTTCCACCCAAATATGAATTTTCTCTCAGACTTGAAATTTGGTGGGATTAATTTTTCCAGTAATTAAGTACATCCAAGAAAAACATAACAACACCGCAATCACCTGAGAAACCAATAGTTTGCAGTACTGAAATAAGTATTGAGAAAATTTCATTAAAATATTCCAAAGCATCGTACGATACTAATTGTTAAATCAGACTTTTCAAGTTATAGGACCGGAATCAGCGCTTCAAGAATTACCCTGCTGTGATTTTTGAACCAAAATCTTTATTTATACATGATTTTGTCTCGGCCTGGAAAAAACGTGGGTCCCCCATACGGCGTTTTTTTCACTAAATATGATTTTTCTCTCAGACTTGAAATTTGGTGGGATTAATTTCGGTAATTAAGTACATCAGAAAAAACACCTAACAACGCAATAATCACCTGAAAACCAATAGTTTGCAGTACTGAAATAAGTGATATTGAGAAAAATTTCATTAAAAATATTCCAAAAGCATCATTCACGACCACTAATTGTTCACAATCGAACTTTCGATTATGGGACCCGGAATCAGCATCTTCAGGAATTACCTATATACTGTGATTTTTAGACAAATGGCATTTATCGAGTTTGTCTGAATTACACTGGAAAAAACGCGTAGGGTCCCCCCTTACGCGTTTTTCACCCAAATATGATTTCTCTCAGACTTGAAATTTGAGGTGGGATTCAATTTCAATGATTAAATACATCCAGAAAAACATAACAACACCACAATCACCTGAGAAACCAATAGTTTAGAGTAATACTGATAAGTATTGAGAATTTCATTAAAATATTCCAAAGCATCATTACGACCACTAATTGTTCCCCCAATCGAACTTTCGATTATAGGACCCGGAATCAGCATCTTCAGGAGTGCCTATACTGTGATTTTGAACAAAATCCTTTTATGGCAATTTGTCTAGACCCTGGAAAAAAGCGGTAAGGGTCCCCCCACTACGTTTTTCACCCCAAATATGATTTTCTCTGGGGCCCCGGAAATTTGGTGGGTTAATTTCCAGTAATTAAAGGTAGCCAGAAAACATAACACCAACCAATCACCTGAGAAACCAATAGTTCGCAGTACTGAAACTAAGTATTGAGAAAAAATTTCGTAAAAATATCTTCAAAGCATAATTACGACACTCGTATTCCCCAATCAATATTTCGATTATAGGACCAGAATCCAGCATCTTCAGGGTACCTATACTGTGATTTTGAACAAATTCACTGTCGCGTTTTGTCTGGAGCCCTGGAAAACCAATAGATTTTATACATTTTTTTCCACCCCAAATATGATTTTTCTCTCAGACTTGAAGTGCAGGTGGGATTAATTTTATTAATTAAATTGTTTATCCAGAAAAACATAACAACACCACCCAATCACCTGAGAAACCAATAGTTTGCGAGTACTGAAAATAAGTGTTGAAAATTTCATTAAAATATTCCAAGCATCATTACGACCACTAATTATTCCCCCAATCGAACTTTCGATTATAGGATTGGAATCAGCATCTTCGAGTACCTATACTGTGATTTTTTAAAGACAAAATCGCATTTATCGATTTTGTCTAGACCCTGGAAAAAAACAGTAAGGGTCTACTCTTTACGCGTTTTTTCACCATCGATTTTCTCTCGGGCTTGAAATTTGGTGCAGGATTAATTTCGTGATAAGTACATCAGAAAAAACATAAC